AATAAAGTCCACGCAAAATTAACTGACTTCGTTTTGCCTTCGTTTGGTAAAATTTATAAATATTTTAAAAATTATCAAAATTCATTTTTAGTCATACGCAACTAAAATGAGTAAGTTAATCAATTAGCCCATATTTGGTATACATTATTTCGAAACTCATTTTTGACCACATATTTTTCAATAAAATAATATTTTTCATCACATCAATAATTTTTCCTTACTTTTTAATAACATATTTATCAAAATATAACTGTTTAAAATATATTATTTTCTCAATAATATTCATCAAACACGTGTAACTTTCTTGTCCCTTTGAGCGGTTGAAAATGTAGGCCAACTTTTTGGCATTGTGGTAGTCACTTTGTGTCTATTCGATACACATTAATATATTTTATAGTTTGCTACAGTGATCATGTTCAAGTACGCGTTCACATAATGATAATAATAATAATAATAATAATAATAATAATAATCGACACGTATACAAAAAAAAAATCTCTATTTTTTAANTGATCATTTTCAAGTACGCGTTCACATAATAATAATAATAATAATAATAATAATAATAATAATCCACACGTATACAAAAAAAATCTCTATTTTTTAACTACACATTCTCCTAAAAATATTATTCAAAACTCATTTTTTCCCCCGAAGAATCAAACATGCTTTTAGTATGATAGGTTTGACATCGATATGTTAAAAGCACGTAATTACATAGTAAAGAACGATATTGAGCAACACAACAAGAAGTTAAAAGCAAGTAAATTATCATCAGTCATGTCACTGATTTATTCATGTAACAATTGATGTCACGCTGTCTAATAAAGAAATTTGTCCTAAGAGCAGCTTGTTTGAGCCCCATTTTTATGAAAAAAAATGTTTTTTTTTTAATAGCATATTGATGGAAAATGTGTTATTAAAAAATAAAGAAAAGTTTTGAACTTGCATGTAATATTATTTTATTGAAGAAATTGATTGAAATATAATCAACACACCATTTTAAAATGCATTTTTTTTTATCGAAAAAACAAAATGGAACTCAAACAGAGGCTAAATTATCGCATCGGGATTGTGTAAACTATGTAAAAAACAAGATCGACATAAATTCAATTCAACGAGCTATGAGTAGTGTCTAGATCCCCATGTGATCATATTGCTTTGAGCTCAAGTCAAATAATGTTTTTGTTGAAGGCTTCGAGAGGTGAGAGCATCTTTGAAATCAATGGTAATTAACTTTTATTGATAATTAGTTGGATGACAATATTTTGATTTGATATATTGCTGGAGAAAAGAGACTAACCTTTTTTTTTTTTTTTTATTGCAATCACAGGTGGAACATATACCGGAACCCAAGAATGCATTTTTTTGTTTGACGTGATCGTCTGATNTAACCTTTTTTTCAGAACCATATTGTAATCACAGGTGGAACATAGACCGGAACCAAAAATGCATTTTTTTGTTTGACGTGATCATCTGATCAGCAATCATTACGAATATTTGTCCAGCTTTGCGGGGTTTGTTCTGTGAGAATTAAAATCAAATTTTTAGTTTATTTGGATAAAAGTTGATAAAATGCATGAATGAAATGTTGTGAGTTCCATAAAATTTGTTGTTAAAATTAGTTGTTCACTTTGAGTTAAATTAAAATCTGAATTTTAATTTCTACTGAACGGGGATAGATTGAAATTAGCTTACCGTTTAGCCCCCATTATTTGAGACTATAATTTTTGGAATAGTGTCTTTTGTTTTAAAATGAGCGGCTAAAAAAGAATAAAAAGTTTGAGTTTACGTGTAATATTATTTTATTGGAAAATGTGTGGTTGATAAAAAGAGATAGAAAAATGAATTATAATTTTAATAGGGCCAAACATGGGATGACTATAATGTACCAAAAGTTCTTATCTACGTTATAAATACGGTAATTAGCACATAATGTCCTCACCTCTTGTTATTATTGTGAAAAATGTCCTTATCTTTTAATTTTTGACATTTTTATTGCGTAAAATGTTATTTTCATTTATTTTTTCAATTAAAAATTGTGAAATGACAAATATATTATTTTATTTAAATAAAAAAGAAAAAAAAAGAAAAAGAAATAAATTAATTGTAACCATAGTCTCCATTTAAAAAAAGAAGAAGCAAATAAGTCCCAAATAAATTATTAAAAGAATAATTAACACATAATGTCCATACATTACTATTATTGCGAAAAAGTCAATACCTTTCATTTTTTGACACTTTTGTCCTTAATTACACATTTAATTGTGCAAACCAATT